TTTTTTTTCCATATAAATACATACAAACAACAAAACTTAAAACACTCTTAGGATTAGATTATATCACATTACTATATATTTTCAAGGCATTTCAAAATAGTTTTGCTGTTTCAACTAAACATCAAAGTGAAAGATGAAAGTTCTGAAAATGTTCCCTGTTTAACAACTCTAAAAAGTAAAACCAAACATAACAGTTAACGTTAAATAAAAACTATCCATATTAAGACTCAATTATATTTATTTTTTAAGCACCAAAAACCGGTTTATAATAAGTACGTAGTGTCACCTACCTAATTTTTTGTACAAATTTAAAGCCTACATGAACTATGATTACACATACAAAGGTCTCTATTTAACAAAATCCAGATTTAGTTTACTAACGTGTTCACTCGGCAACTCAATGAAAAAAAAAATAATTTCTAATCAATAACAACAAAATTATACATTTAAAAAATGACGAGAGTTACACCTCTGGGAGCACCTATCTATTCACCTGTTGTTAAGCATGTTCATCAAAGCACGTTTTAGACCTCCTATCTCTCACGTACCAGCGTGTGCTCGTGTTCACACCACACGCACGTTTTCCCAGTAAATCAATAGGCCACTTTGTCCCTACCTTTCAGTTGACAAAAATATGAGTCGTCCCCAAAAATTCCTTCAAATAACCAGTTTAAAATGTTTATTTTTCTCTAACAACACATAATACTAAACCATTTGTTCTAAAACGTGATTAAATACACACAGTTATGACTTGAAATCGGTAAGTTTGGTGCCCTGTAATTCTTACCTGAAACTTAGAATCTACACATAATTTATTGGCCAGCTTATAGATTTTTAAACATTATTCAACAGTTGAAAACGGTTATGACTTAATATGAACACATACATGTGGCTAAAGTGCATATTAAGAAACGTGCGTACGATGTGCAAAAATGCAATCCAAAAAGTATTTATATTAAGGTTTCCATTCCATTTCATAACTTCAATAAGTAACACGTGAACATGTTTAATTAAAATGAGTTAGAAGCAGAAAATTATGGTCCTAAAAATTGTTACAACGATGTCAATAAAGTGTTATTGGCAATTTATAAATTCCCAACCTTCCTGAGAGTTGAATCTAAAATTACCCTCTGACGATATCCCAACTTTCTAAAAGGTCAAGATAACTTTAACCTAAATTTTAGTAAAATATCAGGATTAACAAAAGAAAAATACCGAAAGTCCAATAACGTAGTTTGAAGTATCCACTCAAGTTGTGATACGTTTAATGGAAACTATAATTAACACATTCGTGGTCTACAGTCTTCAAACGTTCTCGGTCAGTTGGAAGGAATGTACCAACGTTTACGACTTGCAAAATTGTGCTCACTGTACTAATTATATATCTAATCACAAACTCCTCTTTATTTAAATGTTACCATGTCTAACTAGTAATTTTAGTCCTTAATACTATTATTGTCTGTAGCTTGATGAGTTCACACCGTAATACCATTATCGTCTGAAGCTAGATCAGTTCACACCGTAATACCATGTTAATGGCTGTAGCTAAAATAATTCACACCGTAATACCATGTTAATGGCTGTAGCTAAAATAGTTCACACCGTAATATCATGTTAATGTTTGTAGCTAAAATATTTCACACCGTAATACCATGTTAATGGCTGTAGCTAAAATAGTTCACACCGTAATACCATAAGCCTATCTCTAAAGCATCTGAATAATAAGATCTACATAACCTCGAGCCAAAACATACGGTGACAGAAGCGGGAAGCAAGATCCCTCCCTAAAAATACCTTTATAACTTATGAACATTAATTGGTCTTCATATCCATAATACGTTTAAACTTATACGTTAAGTTCAATGTTATAATTCCAATTTACCCTCTCATAATGTAATTCAAACACACTTTACTACAAAATTTTGATACTAAAAGCATTACTTTTGTTTCTCTTTGGAGATCATGTTCCCTTCTTCTGTTTCACTTAACAGATATTTCAAAAAATTCCGAGTTTTATTCGCATTATCGTTTTTTAGCACGTCAAAAATATTTCGAGTTGCTCTGGTGTGAACACTGTTATCCTAAGTATATCCCTCCTAACTTGTTCTACAATTCGGGTAACAACGGTGACTAGTTATTCAAAACTCCTTTCTCGTGTTAATCGATTACCTAACCTAACTTTCTACCAATCATGTTCCTCGAACATTCTTGTCATGTTTTGTTATGATAATAAACTAACATGTATATCACTGATCAAGAGTGCTGCGCCCCCTGGCTTGACACGGTTCCTATCATATACAGGGGTTTCGATTTTGTTCAAAAGTATCCAGCACCCCCTAGTACAGAAACTAGCGAACCAAGTGGGCCTATGGCTCACATTTACAAAGCCTCCTATAATGCAAATTTAATACTTAAACTACCGTTTTGCACTTTTTCAGTTTAATGCAAGTTTAATTTCTTTAATCAAGTTACGATCGGTCA